TACAGGAAAGAGTTACCTTTCCTCAGACAGACCAGTGGTTTCTACTTTGGTAGACACAAGTTCTTTTTCAGTTCTTACTGAGTAGGTTGCTTGCGTAGAAGTCCTGAATAATGAGTCAAAGAAAAAGGTTTTTTTAGGAAATTGTGTATTTCAAGAGTAGAGTAGGAGTAGATTCAGGTTAATTTTACCCTCTCTGGCTTTCTTCCTCTCAACCACCACTACCAAAAACTGCACTGACTGAATTGCTATTTTGGGCAATTCTAAATGTCAAGTATTTGGTGCTGCTAACAAATGATGATAACTGTGAGGGAATTTGTCCCATAGAACATCTTCGTGGGATGTGTGAATCACAGGTAATTTCCTCTTTGGCTTAATGAGCATAGAAGCTACAGATTTGGTGTTGTTATTAGGAGAGGAAATCCTGTTACAGATTTGTTCTAGCACAAGTACTGCAGTCCTGCATTGCAGTTAATCATCACTGGTTTTAATTAGAGGGGGTTGACACCCCTTTTCCTTTTCTCACGCAAACGTTGAATCACTGTTTAGCCAGCTGATACAAAGAGGAATATCTCTAGCAAGAGATTGCCCAAACCCCATTATTAAGACTCAGTATAAAAGGTAAGACACTGAATTTTGGCCCTGGCTGTGAATTGCAGAGGAAGGATCCAAATTTCAGTCCTTGATATCTTAGCTACACAGTGTGGCTGTAGATCATAAGGTTGGGTGAGAACAGTGTATCATCCTCTTCTTCTCATCACTGTCCTCTCTGCTTTGTGACTCATGCCAAGGTTTCCTCGTGAGTCCAGTGCTTCCCTTTTGGATGTCCTGGAGGGCTTAGGGATCAGCTGAAGGAAGTGCTCCTGCCTTGCTCCAGGCTGAGCCACCACTGTTGTAGTATAATAATACATTCTGTGCACAGAAAGTTTGTCCACTTGGATATCCTGGAGTTAGAATCTTCAAAATCTTAATATTCAAAATGCTGTTTGAAGTGAAGGGGCGATGTCTTGGACTTATCATTGATATCTCTATGTGTTGCTGTTCACTTGTCATTGGTGTTTTGATTTCAGCTTTTATCTTAGTGACATTTCCTAATACTTTTAATTGTCAATGTTCTCTTCTAAATCCTTTCCCATAGAAATAACTGTTACATTGGATAAAACTGAACAGATGGTTTCTGCTCTTACATGGAATTCTATCAGGAACTGTTAAATAGGTTTTGGTGTGAAAGCAGAGTTAGTCTGAGCTGTTTTAACAGGGCAATTAACAATGAAGATTCTTCTCTATCTACAGGTATTAACCAAAAAAGTCCATGTCAAATACCAAAGTACAAATACAGCTGAAAATTGACTTCTGCTTCCAGGAAAAAAATACTGCATAGATGATGTTGCCATTATTGCCATAAACTCCTCTTAATGAAAATATTTTAAGTTTGGGGTTTTTTTCCTAATACAGTATTTGCAGAAACAGAGTGCTTAAAAGCAGGTTTCATCTCACCTAATTCTTGGTATCTAAAAATAAAAGAGTAAAGTTTCTCTGCACCCCCTGTGACAGCTGAGGAGAGACAGATATGTCTGTTGGCTCTTCATCCCGCCCTGAATGAGGTGTCTGAGCTGCATGGGATGAACTGCTCTCCAATAGTCCTGTCCACAAGCAGTGGGAAACAGGGGTTCTCCCATGAATGTTGTGTCCTTCAAACGTGTGGCTGTCTTAGGGCGTTTCCCTGATCTTTACTGGTTTATTTCAGTTTTGAAATCACCCCTTCCCTCTCCAGAACTTCCTCTCTGAGGTTCCTTGTCTATCTTCAAGCAGTTTCTGTCTGGGTTTAAGGAAGGAAGAGGAAAGGAAAATGATTGGGCTAGGGGCTTTGTTTGTTTTTTATTGTCTGTTTTTTTAATAAAAAATGAACTTTCGCAATAAGACAAACAACTTTATATCCCCTGATTATTTGTTTTATAAGGAGAGGAAGAACAAGCAAAGATCATTCAGTATGTTAGATTAGAAACTGACACCTCAGAGACTTGGTACACAATAAAAGTTGCTTGCCCAGGAGGTTTTACTTAGCAAGGTGAAATTTCTCTTTAGAGTAGAGGTCAAATGTTTCAGGATTGCAAAGGGTGTGCTAGAGAGGTAGGAACTCAAAACACGATTAGGAAAAAAATGCCTCATTTCTCTGAAGTGTACCAGTGATCTGGCCTTCCAGATGCTGTTTAGCTGTAGGTACACTTTGTAACTTCCACTTTTTTTAATCTTATATATACATTATTTTGGTATACCATGGATCTTCAGGATTGCTTATTTCGGAGAGAGCAAGAGATTCCAGTAGCCAAGATGGCAATTACGAGGAAACAAGAAAAGGGGCCAAATGATAACTGCCAAACTTCAGCTGTTTTGGGAACAGAACTTTGGCAAAATTCCTTCCCTGGATTGCTTATAAGGCATTTAAGAGAATAGTTCAGAAGGATAAGGACTCCTGAGATCTGGTGTCTTCCATCAGACTTCCTTACTGACTGTGTTGGGGAAATCTTTAGTTTTAGAAAATCAAGTGTCATGAAAGACTGGCTTACTGAAGTTGACATACTAGAATAAACTGGTGATTCATATTAGTGGGAAGTGGAGCAGTAATCATTTTAAGAGTGCGGAAGGAGTTTGGTGAAGCTGCTAATGTACAAAAATATTCTGATTATAAAGAGTTAGAAAACCAGGTTGCAGTAAAAGGTATTTGTACCTTCAAAGACTGGGGGAGGATGATCTTGCTGAGGTCTGGGTCTCAGAGCCCTATGATAGCTAATCAGAAGAACTTAGTAAAGTTCAAAAATAATTGGGCTGTTGGATCTATAACATTCATTTATACAAGGAAAATACAAACAGCAAAATACAAAATCTGGCTGGTAGATCGACAGCCTTGTTTTATTGTTACAAAGTGAGCCGAGTTAAACGTAATTGTAAATGAACTTAACACAGCAGGGGCAAAGCAGTGCAGCTTCTGTGAAGAAAAACTGAGCTGTGCACATCTGTGCAGATTAACATGAATGAATTAAGAAATTACTCTCTCATACATTTCTTAAAAGCCTTGAAAGTAAGGAGCTCTGGTTTTGAGAATGACACACTTAATTCTAGGTGTGCTTTAAGACTCCTCACACAGCTGTTAAGTATAGTTACTAATTAATTTGATTAATTTAGCAGTAGCTGAACAGTATGAGTTGTGTAAAACTTTTGATTGGTTCAGAATTATTCAAGTAGCTGAGTGTAAGAGAAGACTCTGTGGTGTTCCCTAGGGATCTCAGAGGAGGTGGGCACCTGGCAGTCTGACACAGCCCAGGTTGTGCAAGCCTGTATAGGAAAGGTCTCTGTTCTCCAGTAGCTTCTACTGTAGCCACAGCTGGGTGTTGAGACAAGTCCTCACACAAGTCTCACACTTCCAAACTGCAAACAGTTCCCGACAAAGAAAATAGAATGGAAGTATTTTCCACTGGCATTGGAAAAATCAGAGTCAGGTTGTAATGTTTGTGAGGATATGTGTAGGTCATATGTAATAATTTACAGGGAGCAAGGTGGGTGGTGTTTATTTTGACCACTGTACAAGAAAAGAGGGATGTTTACTCTCCTGAACGTTAATTAAAAATTGCTTCCTTATTCCTTACCTCATGTCTTGCTAACCTGTGAAGCTCAGTGCCATATGATAGCTAATCTGAAGAGCTTAATAACATTCAAAAGTAATTAAACTTTTGGATGGATACCATCCTCTGTTATCTAATACAGGAAGAAGATAAAACCTCCAGCTTCAAAGATGAGTTGCTAATAACCAACACTGAAAAAACCTTGACTGTTGGTCACTGCTCATTAAAAAACTCGAGGATCAGTCATTGCTGCTGCTGAATTAGGAGAGAGAACAAGGGCAGACAGTCTGCTCAGAGATACTGCTTGCTGAAAAAAAACACTTTTACAAATGGTCTATTGTCTGGGCCACCTTGGTTTTGCTTTCAAAGCATAAAACCTCCAGAACCACAGATGGAATGATGTCATGCATACTGCTTGTCTCAGATGTTTGTTTGTATATAAACTAATACTACAGTGTAACTGTCAGCAGCAAAATAACTGAAGCTAGTATTACAGTTATTGGTTGATTTCTATCAAGACAGTACACACTGGGATTTTTGGCTTTTTTTAATTGAAGATGTATGTTTACTATGTGTGATTTGTGTTGGCATTACAGGACTCCTACAGAGGCAGAGTGAGATTGCTTGTTTGTTTGCTTACTGTGGTGGGTTGACCCTGGCTCTGGCTGAATGCTGGATGCCCATCAAAGCTTCTCTATCACTCCCCTCCTCAGCTGGACAAGGGAAAGAAAATACACCAAGAGACTCATGGGTTAAGATAAAGACAGGAGAGATAATTCACCAGTTACTGTTATATTGAAGTATGCACGGAAGACTCAACTTGGGGAAATTAATCGAGTTTTATAACAAATCAGAGTAGGATAATGAGAAATAAAACTAAATGGTAAAATACCTTCCCCCCACCTCTCCCTTCTCCCCAAGCTTATTTTAATTCCAAAATTGTTCATTTCCATGCTCTCAGTGGTGCAGGAGGTCGAAATGGGTGCTCTGGTCTGTTCATCACATATTGTCTGCTCTTTCCTCCTTGGGGGAAGGACTCCACGTTCTTCCCCTGTTCCACCATGGGGTCCTTCTGACAAGAGACAGTCCTCCACAGACTTCTCCAGTGGACTTCCCAGGGACTGCAGTTCTTCACAAACTGCTCCAACATGGGTCCTTCCCACTGGGATGCAGTCCTTCAACAGCAGAGTGCTCCAGTGCAAGCTCCTCTCTCCATGGGGCCACAGGTCCTGTACTTTACATTAGTTTGCAGAATATAACAGATTTTTTTTCTATCACTTTGTAAAAGCAACTTACATGGTCAGATTCATTGTATGAATTTGGTTTGGATCTTACAAGATCTAAATTAACAAGCATCTTAAAAGTATCTCCGTTTTTTTGCAGGGTATTATAGAGAAATCGAAGGTGAAAGGAATACCTATCATTATTGATGCAGTAAGTATTTTCTTGATTTCATTCAGTAGCTTAGCATTTAAGAATCTCTTCAGTAAATGTTTTTCTTACTGTGTTTTGCAGGATGGACTGTGGCTCATTTCCCAGCAGCCTTCTCTTATTCAAGGCTACCAGCGAGCTATTCTTACTCCAAACTATATGGAGTTCAGTAGACTGTATGAAGCCATGGTGAGCTGTTTGCCTTTTTGGTATTCAAGTATGTGCAAGTTTAGTCTTTTTGTTCTTGAAAATAAGTAACTTATTACTGGTTTAAGTATTATGTGCTGTTTCTTGTATGTGAGAGAAACACTTTCTGGGTTTTTATTCCATGGGATAATTGCCACAGCAGTGCTTATTCTTTAAATGAGCTCTTCTTTAAAGAAGGCCTGCTCTCATGCATTTTTTAACATTGCAGTGGGTATAGAGAAAAAAATACATGGAGA